CCACATAAGGAAAAAACTGTCACAAAATCTGTGTACCTTTTTCGGAAAGTCTGCAAATTACCGGTTGTCTCCTGATGTGTTTTGGAAAAATGAATCCCAAAATCCAGCTTAGCTGAATAAAAATATAAAAAACTGCGAAACGCGACAGGAAGCAAACTTCTTTACATTTACATGGTAATGAAAGCAAAAAAATTTGGAAAATTTTTCCCGGGAAGCGATAATCGGTGAATATATAGGCACTAGACAGTAAGTGCTCGCACTGCTAAAGTTACCCCCGTGCGCAATTTCGGTTGTGTTGAGCGATGATGGCATATGTCCAACAGTGAAACATCTGAAAAGACAAATTTTTTCGTAAAGCTATGAAAGCTTAAAAAATTTTCAAATATGAAATTACAATCAACAACCAGATCAGCTTATAAAAGGATGAGTGCCATAAATGAGGGAAATATGAAACCAGAAAAGAAAAAACAATCTTGAACTCAGAGATGCATGACGTCGATGAGATAGATATCTCCTTCTCAATTTTATAATCTCAACTTTCCTGGAAAAAGCAAAAGAAAAACAGCTGATATATCAATCATGACATGAACATTATACATATTTTTCGGCTTGTTTGGTTACCAAAAAAAAAAACGCAACGAAGAGAGAATCTGACGGAAGGAAGTTCCTTTGAGAAATTTCAATTAGAAATGCATCCATAACTGTTAGTTGCCTCAGAGTTAAATTGAGTAGTTGATGGTCAGCGATGGACTAAACCAAAAAAGTGATCAACTAAACAAAAGCATTGGCTAGTCATCATTTCATTATTTCGAATTCTCATTACTCTAAAAAGTATTGTCTATTGATGAGAACAGCTCACAAATGTAATGTTTTTGCTTCGATTTGCCCGTACTTCACGAAATTCCATTTAATCGGTTTCGGCACAAACAACGCCAATTTCAGACGAACGTTTCCGCATCCCATAAATTTTCACATGCTAACAACATTAACGACGTTGCGTGGTGCAAAAGCATTTTGTTCCTAAATGAATCTCAAGATTTTACATAAGAGATATAAGACCTCCAAAGGTATATTGACATCATGTAAAAGATGGTAATTCAACTTGGAAAAGCAGAAGTCAGCAGAAAAATGCTTCGCGTACAGCACCAAATTTAGTCATTGTGCTTTTTGAAACGATATAGACGACATTTCCAATCTTCGTCAGGTAATCTTTCCTTCAATAAAGAACGTTTTGTGAAACGCCTGGAATGGCTATTGTAAAGACTATCGACGTGAACTTTAATTTTTTGAAAGGATTAGCACTGGCACAAATTTTTACTCGCTGTTTCTTCCAGCCTACTTTCCTAATCAATTCACCACTATCCTCACTTCCTCCATAAGCCATGCACATATGTAACAACCAACTGTTTCATTCTAAAACATGATCTGTTCAAACTCAACAACTTCTCTGTAATGCGATGAAACCAAGCTAGGTTACCTCAAGAACTTCTCCATAACCGCTACCAACAATCTTTCTGACAAGGTCAAGATGATGTTATATCAAGCAACTGACTTCGATAACTATGAAGGTAATATAGTGACCATAAGATGACTATAAAGAAAAGTAGGTGATTTAAACCCGCACGACTCCAATGAAACACAAAAAAATGCTTATAGCAGCAGCATATTAGACATGCTCGAACTAGTTTTGATATAAAATGCTTCCAAGATTTCCAATGAACTTGTGGATTTACTTCAGGAATAACTTCTCGTGTGAATGAAATATACAAAACGTTCAGTATGCTTAATTCAGTTAATCGAAAAAGCAATTTTTCATAACAGATCACTTTATATGACATTTTTTTCCCGAAGACATCTAAAGCTGTACGATAATGCTTTCTTTAAGACGGGCAACAATACAAAGCATATTATGATGTAAAAAAGATAAATTCTTTTCGATCCTAAAATATAACTCGAAAGTTGGAAAGCAACGGATTCTTCAATTGTTTTACGAAAATTTTCACAAATATGATGAAATAACTCTCCAATTATCAAGTCGAGTGACACTCCCGACATCATAATGAAATGCAAAGAGATGAAAACAGACAAAAGTTTTGCGAGTACCATCGAATAAGGATACTGAAGTTAAACAAAAAATACGTCTATGCAAAAATATTATATGAACATTAGAGGACAAGGACTAAATCATAGCAAAACTGAAGGAAAATTGATTATACGGATATACGCCATTATTTGTCATTATTTCGATACAAACATATATGCAACAGGTAAAGAAAATTTAAACTGATTGCTGACAACTAGACGCATTGGGTTGGAACTAATACTGCACCATACGGTAAAAATAAATCCAAAGTTACCTGCTTACATTTTCCTATCATCTTTCCCTCACCTCTCTGAAGTACATATCTACAGAATTGGTAGAATTAGATTGCAAAAACGCTTTTTTGAAATTTAATTTGCTTTTAAACAAAGTGCTTTTCTAAAACAAGAGTCAAGGTGGCTTGGCTGCAATGATCCACCATGAGCCGCGACTCTTACCAAGATAATAAATAGAACTGAGCACATTCAGCGATGAAAGGCACTGTGATGATAGTAAAATCAGCTCTGCAAGATGCACTTCATTAGCTGTATATAGTTTAATTTCAAAAATAATTATTTCCGTTAACTGGAAAAGGTTTTAAAAATGTCGAAAAGTGAAACTGAATTACGATATAAAAATAATTGGATAAGATTGGAAATAATTAGTGAAAAAAATGAAGGCATACTTACTTTCCGCTTGAACAATCGTGCGAGAAATCCAAATTTATTATTAGATTCACTTCTGTTATTTTCACCCTTAATTGGGTCATTACGCAAATCCAACACTAGTTCACCATTCTCTTCCATCACATTGAGCTCTCGGAAACATTCTGTTTCGATCATCTGTAAAAGACACATGCAGCTATAAATCATGAAGTAACAGCTATCTGACCTGTAAAGCTCAAAGTAATGTGAAATAAAAAAAAAAAAAAGAGGTAGAAATAGCTAGAACGTATGTGAACAAAATGCAATTCTGACAATTTTGAAGAGACGGTGAAGAGATTACAACATTGGTTATCACATAATCTCATCTGTAAAAGTGAACAAAGTGATTAGAGAAACCTAGATAGTGAGATAATGCTTAATGGACAGTTATCATTAAATTATGGTAAACGATTCAAGTTTCTCATAGATTTCTTGGACAAACTTTCAATTGATTGATTGACGAGAAAAATTAGAAATTGTTGGATTCAGACGTCTAGTACTAGGTCAGAGAGCATGATATCTAGAACTTATGTATAGTTATGTTATATGTACGCATGAACTAAGTTGAGATATAACTTTATGATGTAAACTGTAAAAAACTGGCAAACTAAAGAAACTGGAAATTTATGAATGCATCCTAAATAAAAATAAATTTCAAACACATAGTTGTACCACCTCATTCTGCCACGGTATTGAAACAGATCCGGTACTGAATTTCTCATAAAACTGATTATCCGTTGCATCTAATCTGACACCTTTAACAGTGCTGAATTGCTCAATGTCAAGCACATCTTTGGCATATACTGCTCTGGGATCGGGACAAAACGGTGGTGTCAACTAAAAATATAAAATAAAATATTGGATTTAGACACAGTTTGTAAATAAGATCTTCATCGAAAGATTCAACAATTTGGCACACTTTTATATTCCGTCGAAAAAAAAAAAGAATTCTCATTGGGACAAATTATAGTTTCATAATATTCATAATATAATAGTAATAACTAGATAATGGTAAAGTCAAACTGGTGCTGCTATTCTTCAATGATTTCATACAAATTGAAAAGATACAAAGCCATCTTTCACTAACGGTCTTATCCCCAAGAATGATCATACCGTTAGGACAAATGAACCTAAAAGGAAAGAGGGTACAAATTGATAAGTAAAATACGCATGTTTAAAAGCTTTAAAAATTACTCAAGTAATTTGCCCATCAGTGTGCACATTTCCAGCTCTCTCTTCTATATAATATTTATGGGTGCAAAAGCAAAGGAGATGCATCTTTCACTTTAATTTAAAATCATTAAAGATTGTTTCATTTTATCATTTATTGGGACGCTTCCTTCAAAAGTTTGCCTTTATGTACCTTTCCAGCTTCCATTTTCTTCCAAGGTATTGGCTCTCTACCCGTACTCACATCTCCCTGTGAGAAAAAAGGATGGCTTTTTAACTCTTCAGCACCTTCTTCCGGTTTACCAACCCGGCGACATCCAAGTCTAAATCCTGGTTCTTTATGCAGAAGTCCTCTAAAAAAAAAATAAATATTACTATATCATCAAGAACACATATTTTTAAAACTAATCTGCTTACTTAAATGATAAAATATAAGTTATGACAATAATAATTTAAAGAACACTTTGTATAGCCAGGTTAATAGTAAAGTTCATTCATACAATTATCCGTTGTGATTTTCAATCTCTTAAATAGTTAGATATGAATAACTAACTGTATGCTGATGGGTAAAGCATAGGCAGGGTAGAATTTTCAAAATTTACATATCGATCCGTAGTAAAAACCTTGCCGTTTCTTACAAAATCAGATTGAACTTTTTGCCTGTTTTTAAAAAAACCAACAAAACTCATAAAATATATTTGGGATTCCAATCGGATTAAACTATTTTCTGGAAGTCGATGAAAATTTTTATAACCATTAATTCATTTATTCAGCTTATCGATTCAATTAATGGACTAAACAACCGAATTGTTTTGATCGTAAACAAGATTACTTTCAGATATGACCATGTTAATTAATTTACATACTAACGCTTTTAATCCTATGTAATTTCATTTTCTGCACATCTGGATTTCCTTTATTTTATAATATCTTTTAGTTTATCAACCCATGTATTATTCCGCTGTAGTGCTGTATCTAAATCAAAAAAAGCGAAATGCGACCACCATTACCTGCATATAGTCCTGCTAGATTCACTAAATTTATCCGAATATTTTTCTTGATCCTCACGGACTCGCCGTTCCACTTCTTCACGTTTTACTTTTTCCTTTCGTTGTCGAAAAGGCGCCTGAGGTAATTAACCAGGTAAAAGAAACAAAAAAATAGTACCAACAAACATCACAATGAAACATCAGCACTACAGCACTACAAAAATTATTTTAGAAAGAAGGCGATTAGCAGCAATATAACCTTTCCTTCCATCATTTCATATATTAGGCAACCCAATCCCCACCAGTCGACACCATATGAGTAACGTTCATTTTTGATAACTTCTGGAGCTGAAATATGCAAAAAAATTAACGTTGAGAAAATAAATTTGAAATTGGAATAACCTGTTAGTTATAACCAAAAACTAATGAGTGTCATTATAACTACAATTAACATAAAACTCCAATAAATATTATCATATTCATCATATGAATATGCTTAATGCATAAGAAGGCAGTTTCCAAATCACTAATAACCTTATTTGTAACATTAACATTTAAGAATTTGAAGAGTGTAAATTTGCGCCATCCATTCCTATTTTAATCTCATTCGAAAATGTCAAATTATTCCATAACAGCTTCTG